AGCAGTGTGATATGACACTGTGCTCTCGCCTGGGTTGATGACCCATTCCAGTCCTTTCATCAGAGCCCTTTAATCATAGCCAGAAGCCTGCCCTTGACTGTGATTATGATTTCTGTCTTTAATTTTCACATCATCTATTTAGGACTCTAGCTACAGGCTTAGCGGCAGCTCCAGACAGCAGTGTCCCTGTGGACAGGGCTCTGGCAGGCTTTAAGGGAGTTCACACATCCCTGGAGGCAGTATGGCAAACAGTAAACAGCTATTTATGTCAGGTGAAGCCAAACTGCTTCTGAGGGTCTAGACAGCAACTGGGAAAAATGCATTAGTCAAGGTTTTAATGCATATAATTTTCCAGCAAAGGTGTTTACTTGCTCCAGCAACACACTAAGAACTGCATTAGGAAAGACTTCTTTAGCATTTTACATCCTTTACATCCTTTAATAGACCTCAAATACCAGAATGCTTTAAAAAAAAAAAATCACATGGGTCACATAGAGCTATGGGGAGAGGGAGGCTGGAATCTTCTTTTTGTATGTGTGCCTCAGTGGTTTGGACCACACTTTTTAAGGAGCTAAGTTCCTTGTGCACCGCCCAGAGAGATGTGAGCCAGCTGAAGGCCTTTAAGAGAGGGGGCAGACCATTCACTGGGGCTTTTCACAAACTAAATCCCCTCGTGATTTTATTTTTCAGACTTTTTATTTTTAAGAGAAACTTTTTTTAAAGAAATATGAAATCTTACTCAGATTATTCAGTCAGTAAATCTTAGTGATTTATCTCAGTGATCATGGCAACCAAAGCTCATACTCCACATGGATCTCCCTTAAAGGACCCTGAGGCACTCATACCATACAGATATGGGGTTCAGTGTGACAGGCCTCCAGGTGTGGACAAGATGCCCTCTGTCTCTAGCTTGGGGAGCTAGACATTTTTCACTCCTCCAGTGTCTCACACAGATGGTCAGTAATATATACTGGATTAATGATTGTGAGAATTTGAGAGACTCCTGCTTTGGAGGGACCAGGAAGACCTCAGTAGCAAACCTTTCAGCTTCTTTTCATCAGCCCACATGCTTCTACTTCCATTCCTGTTTGAATGCTTTTTACTCCATGTAGTCAATAGAAAGTTTCTGGCAAACTTAAAATTTAGAGACAGCTAGTGAGTTGATCATCTACAGAGGAAACTAGATTTCACAGAAATACATTTTTTTTATGTTTTACTATGAGCCGCCTTAAATCCATTTGGAAAGTAGCTGGGGTATAAAGAGCGAATAATACTAAATGAAGTTTTATGCAAATCAGAATAAAACTACTTCCAGCTAAGTGACCTGGCAGAGAATGAGAAGGTAGCCCTCAAGGCTAAGAGGGATGTCTCCTGATGGAGGATGAGAAAAGGAGAGTCACAGAACAATTTTGTGTTGTTATGTAGTTGGTTATTTTTCTTTTTTCTTCTTTACTATGAACAAAGAAAAAAAGAGTGCTGAAGGTAAGACTGAGAAAGCAAACTGAAGTGTCCTTCCTAGATTTTGACATGAAAGAGTATGAAGTGATTTTTTTGTGACTGATACAGAGCAAAGTTGGGTAGAAACTGAGCTGTAAGCTGCTCTGAGGTCAGGCACTGTCAATGCCAAATTAAGGCTCGTGAGTAAAGGGTAAATTGACAGTGAGACAGATATAAAACTGTATCTCAGACATTTCATTTTCAAACACCTTAAACAAAAAAAGAATTGCTTCTCACTTGGTAAAGTTGCATGTGTTTAGTTTATTAATAAAGCTATATTTTTATGATAAATTGCTCAAGTATCTTCATACTTTGCTTAGGCCACATTTCCAAGGCCATTGCCACACCTTTGATGATATGGTACTTAAAATTTCAGGTCCAGGATTTGTTTTGGAGAATTATTTTAAAGGTTAGACAATCTCTATCAAAGGTTAGATGTCTTAAAGTAAGGACCTGGGCCCCTGGGTGGCTCAGTGGGTTAAGCCGCTGCCTTCGGCTTGGGTCATGATCTCGGGGTCCTGGGATTGAGTCCTGCGTCAGGCTCTCTGCTCAGCAGGGAGCCTGCTTCCTCCTTTCTCTCTGCCTGCCTCTCTGCCTGCTTGTGATCTCTCTCTGTCAATAAATAAATAAATAAATAAATAGTAATTAAAAAAAAAAGTAAGGACCTAAGTCTCCTAAGAGTGCATCCTCTGTGTTCCCCCAAGGCCTTGAATTCCCTCTCTTGGAATTGAAGGGCCCAATAAATAGAATTATCTTGCCTAAGGAAAAGCAATAGAGAGAGACAATGGAGTCAGGATTTGGAGATTGAAAAGATCTTCTTCATTACTAACAAAGCAGATGTTGTAGTGTGTAGTTTATGTCTGTGGGCAAATAGGGTTCCTAATACTGGACCTGAGGATTAGACAGGCCTCCTAGTGACAAGGATACAGGATACCGCCAGCTCCTCTACAGGGAAGGAGCAAAGCAGAACTTGAGTTCTCTGTCCACAGGGTGGCTCCAAAGAGAAAGAGAACATGAGGAATAAAGCCAGTTACCAAACTTTACTGGCTCCCAGCCCCTGGGTATCTCAGCACATCTTTTTTACACAGTTCCATCTACAAAGTAACTTAGGTCTAAACAGGTTAAGAGTAGGAGTGGTAAACTTGGTGTCTGATGAGTGTCATTGTGTTTCCCCTGAAAATATCCCACAGAGCCCCTGCAAGTTTGCTAGGGTGCCTTAGGGCCCTGTGGTACATAGTTTGGAAAATGCCATCTCCTTCAGAACTCAGCAACAGTTGAATTCAGTCACTGCTTATTCTCTTGGAGGAGTGGATGAATGAGAGTGGTAAAGAAGCCAGGAACATTACCCCAGTGGAGCTCCTCCAAGTGGAAGAAAACTTTAGAAGAGGGAAGACACACACTCTCGTGTTGCCTCCCTGCTCCCTACTCCTATCCCCAAAGTTTCCAGATTTCAGCTAAGTTATCCGAGAGCTGACATAGTTTCCCAGCCTAGGAGACTGGATAGTATGTACAGAGAAGCTGTACGCTCCAGCATTCTTAGTACCAGGGACATCTTTGGAAGGGAAATGCCAAGTAAGATGATGACCCCAGGGGTATATATGGAATACATTTCTACAGCCCACCCTTTCGATTCTGCATGTCCAGAGGTCAAATAGCACAGAAGGCCAGGGAGAAACTTACTTTTATTTAACTAAATTAGATACAGACTGCCAATTCTTTTTTTTTTTTTTTAAGATTTATTTATTTATTTATTTGGCAGACAGAGATCACAAGTAGGCAGAGAGGCAGGCAGAGAGAGGGGGGGAAGCAGGCTCCCTGCTAAGCAGAGATCCCGATTCGGGGCTTGATCCCAGGATCCTGGGATCATGACCTGAGCAGAAGGCAGAGGCTTTAACCCACTGAGCCACCCAGGCACCCCCAGACTGTCAATTCTATGGAGGCTCTGTGCAAATTTTTCTTTGCCCATAGCTTTAAATGGAAGGGAGTCTGCAGTGAGCAAAATGCATAGCTGAGCCTCTCATGTATAGTACAAACGCGACAATAAAATGGCCACTCCTTTATAATACAGAATTTCTACTAATAATGAAAAGTAATAGATGGTGGATTTCTAGTCATAAACAACTAAATATTTCCTGTGTGTGCCTCTCATTTAAACCGTAGAGCCATACCCAGTCTGCATTTATAGCTTGATTGGTCAAGTGTGCATTTCCATCAGTCAGATTGGCCTCATCAGTAAAATACTGGTATTAGCAGAACACAAATTGCTAAATGTGCAAAAAATTTACCAAAGAGATCAAGTACTTAATTCATTTGTATTAAAATTTTACTATGTCATACCCAGTACATACAAATTTAAGGGTTTGCAAACTGTGTCTGTGAAAACATTTTATGAGACCTGTTACTGCCCTTACCCACCAAAAAATGAAGCACCTTTCAGGATGGACTACAGGGGCTTGGTCTAAACTACTCTCTTAGGCGGAGACACTGTTAGTAGAAGACATGAGATGAAAAGACTGGCTATGGGGGCACCTGGGTGGCTCAGTGGGTTAAAGCCTCTGCCTTCGGCTCAGGTCATGGTCCCAGGGTTCTGGGATCGAGCCCCGTGTTGGGCTCCCTGCTCAGCAGGGAGCCTGCTTCCTCCTCTCTCTCTGCCTGCCTCTGACTACTTGTGATCTCTGTCTGTCAAATAAAAAAAAAAAAAAAAAAAAAAGAAAAGACAGGCTATGGGTGCCACCCATGGATGCCCGTGGAAGGAAGAGGGGTGGTCATTTAATGGGCGGCTGGCAGAAGCAGGCCGCTCCAAGGAGGTGCAGGGATATTCTAAAGAGGCCTGCCAAACTGCACACACCCCTCCTAGCCTCACCTGCCAGGTTGCCGGTGCTTTTTGCTTTCCTTTTCCCTTGCTGTTTTGTCCCAGCCTGCTGGCTTAGACCTCACTCTATTCCTCTCCGGCCCCATTTCCACCTGTGTGTCCCAACTCTTACTCTCCTATTCAACTTTACTCCTCCAGAGATGCTGACAACCCCCCTGGAGGCTCAGTTTCCTTGTCAGTAAAATGGGGATAATTAATAATCTCTGCCTACTTCTTGGAGTGATTATTCGGGATCAGATGAGTTGTATGTTAAAGCAGTCGGTTAACTGAAAAATGCTATATAAATGTCAGGTGTTGTAAATCATGAGCTGGTCTCTTCTTTAGCTAAAGGAGTTTCCATGCATATTTTAGTTACCTTCTGAAAGAGTCTTTGTCAAGTAGCAAATGTAAATGCTGCTGTTTTTTTCCTGCTTGGCTTGTGGTAGCTCCTTTGCAACTTTATGATGTAGGCTAAATCTTTAAGTACTCCTTTGGCTCATATCTCTTCCCCTGAACACCCATGCAAGATCATAATCCATAAAACACAGAGGCAATAACTCCTTTTAATTGCCAGGAGTTCATCATTTGCGAAGTTCTAAATGCAGTCACTTAGACACTTGCCTTGAAAAGCCCGTCTCTATTTCTTCCACAGAGCCGAGACTGTGTGAAGCTGGGCCCTCCTGCTGAGGGAGAAGTTGTCCAAGTCAAGTGGCCTGATGGCAAACTCTATGGGGCAAAATATCTGGGATCAAATATTGCCCACATGTACCAGGTGAGTGCTGTCCCATGTGAGATGTTTGCTGAGATGAATAGGAGAAGCCAGAGGGCAGATGGATATCCACTGTGCTACTGATCAATAAGCCACACGAATTTGGAGCACCTCATATTTTATAAAGGAGGCAAAGATTTGGTGTCTAATGACCCAGACACTGGAGTTTTATTATCAAGTTCAACACTGGAAAACTAACAGCATTTGATGGATGGTTTAATTGTAAAGAATATAGTTAGGCCACAAAGATAAGCAACTAGATGGTAGGCTGCTTTCTTGTGTGTACATCATTTGGAGAGAGACTAATTGGCTGCTTCATCTCACCGTAAGCCAAGACAATGATGGCTCTTCATCAGCCAGCAGCCCCTGAATGGGTGGCTTTTGCCAGAAAGACATACCCCCATTGGGTGTCTCCTCAAATCTAAATCAATTGTGTATTGACACACAGTTGTGGCCACCTAAGCTTAAACAAGTGCTTAGTTCATGATAAGTACAGCAATCAGTTGGATATTTGTTCACTAGGGAACTCTACATATTACTAAAGAGTATATATACAATCAAATAGTGAAAATATTTTATCCCTATCAGAAATGAAAATGAGTTAAACTCTAACAAGGAAAACACAGATAGCAGATGTACGTTTATATTCCTTTAGGCTTTAAAAAGGAATACATTTATTAGAATCAATGTATCATAGTGCTTTCAGTAACACCATGGCAGAGATCACTGTTCTCAAGCTAAACAGAGTAAAAACAGGAAGATTGAAGTAAAAGAAGAAAAAACTAAGAAGGTTCAGGCCTATTTAGTTAAAAACAGCTTGAGAATGGTAAGACTGCCAGTTTCAGCAGGGAAATTGTTCAAAGACTGGTAAGGGACAGGGGCTTTAGTGGGAGAGCACATTATAAGACATTGTACCAAGAACTACAGCATGGTGTAATTAAAGGGGTTCAAAGAGGTTTAGGAAACTTGGACATTTTTTAAGGTCTTGAAAAGCCCGAGGTGAGTAGAGAGGGGAGGGCATTTATACACATGTTGCGTATATGTGTACTCACACCCACATGTGTGCATGTGTGTGTAAAAGCTATTTTCCCCTTTGTCATAATGTTAAGTTGCTGGAGCTTCTGTGTGTCAGAATGCCCAGAATTAGGCAAAAATCATAAGACAGACTGATCATACTGGAGACTCCTAGAAAAGAAGCATTACTACATTATTCAAAAGGAAATAATTGTATTTAATTAAACAACAAATGCAAAAGTGAAGCATCTTATACATGTAGCAAAGCTATTAGCTACATGAAAAGTATCATAATGAGGACATGCTGAAATTCAGGCTAATTAGTAATTGGTGTGTTAATGTCAGTTGAATTTATGATGGCCTATCAACATAGAACTACAAGCATATTTATAGACTCAATGAAAAAGTTAAGGCTAATATTAAAATTGTCTCTCAAGTGCAAGTAGTTTAAAGTTCCTCATTAAACCAAGGGCCCTTTTAAGATTATTTTGTGTTTTGTGTCTAATTATTCCATCTCATTATTGAATAAGGAAAGACGTTTATAAAAACAGATGTAACCAAAAAAATTCCTATTACACAGTGCTAAATATCCTAAGTGTATGCATTTTTTTGACCCTCCCAGTAGCCCTGTAAGATAAATGTTTTTTACTCCATTTTACAAATGAGGATAAAAAGGTTACATGAATTTAATAATTTGTTGAAGAACACACAGCTGGTAAAGGGATGGGCCAGAGTTTACTCTCAGCTCTGCCCCAACTAGAGTGAACAACCATCCCAGCTTGCTAGGGACTGTCCTTGATTTTAGCACTAAAAGTCCTGCATCCCAGCAGACCTGTTGGTCCTGGAATGATTGGTCATCTTACTGTACTCCTTTGCCTTTTTCTCTCTCTAGAATTTTCAAATTATGTAAAACAGAAGAAAGTTAGGCACAAGTAGTTCTAGCTATGCTATCAAATTGTACAAATGAGATGACACCTTGGCCTAATTAAATATTAAAGAAACCATTCTACTAGAACAAGGCCAGGAAGAGAAGCCTCCTCATCTCAGCCTTCTGGGAGGTAACAGGGGAGCTCTCCTGTGACTGAGACCTAATTCCACCCTATTGTTTTAGCTTAGTCAAATGTAAACAGTACATGGATAAGAAATTTATTTATATATATTATCCTTATTGTATTATTTTTTTAAACTCCAGCAGATTTTTTTTTTAATTAACGTAGTATAGCTGCATGGTTTCATTTACCTTTTAACCAGAAGTATAAGCCTATTTTTATAGCTTACATGTAAAAAAAAAGAATTCAGACAGACAACTTGAGGACTTCAAAAATATCATAAATTGTTCAGGATTAGAGAACATAATAGATTTTCTGCCCTGATTTCATCCCTTTTGTTGTTTCCTCCTGGTAGGGGTCATGTGTTAAACCTAAACCAAGAATAGTTACCTGAATCAGGCATTTGATGAATTTCCCCCCAAATATTCTAGGTTTCTGTTAGCCAGTATCATTTACTTTTCTCTGACAAAATCTTCTAAAATGTTGAAAAAACTGGTTATGAAATTATTTGCTGCCATTTGATTAGCTTGAAGAAAAAGTTTTGAATTTTCATTTCATATGAAAGTTCACACATTGCTGTGGTTTACATGTTATGAGGTTCAGAACCTGGGATTTTCCTGGCTGAATGGTTTAATTTGACAAAAGTGAGTTTTGAAAGTTAAAGTTTTCTAAGAACTTGAGAAATTACTTTATCTGGGAAGATTATTATACAAGAGTAAATATATCACCCTTTCTTCCTCATGTAGTATCAGAGCCTCTTAAAGAAATAAACCATAGATACAGGCCCAGCCAGTCTTAATCCTAAATTGGCCACAATCTCATGTTCTGAGAAATCATTTGAGCAGCAGCTATGTATTTCTTTGTTTTTGCTTTGGGGTGAGGATAAAGTTTTCATATCACATACTCCAAGACAATTATTTTAAGAATTTTGACCTGTTTGAAAACATATATTGTTCTTAGTTTGATAAGGCAAAAAGCTTTCCTTCCTTCCTTAGCTGTTGGCTGGTTCTCTTGTTTGTTCTGGTTGAGTCCTTTTTTCCCTTTTTTTATGGAGTTAATTGGAACCTTGGGAAAAAATGGTGAACACTTATGTATGAATATGTGTATGTGTGTATGTGTGTGTACATATATATCAAGATATCTTATTTCCCACTAGGTTGAATTTGAAGATGGATCCCAGATAGCAATGAAGAGAGAGGATATCTATACTTTAGATGAAGAATTACCCAAGAGAGTGAAAGCTCGTTTTGTAAGTGCTGGCAAATACCCCTCAGGGATCTGCCATGTGAATCTCGAATCTTACCCCTCTGTTTCCCAAGCCCAGCAGGAAAGGTACTTAGGCCTTTGGATTGATTTTCAAGAAGGCTAGTGCAACTTTTCCCTTACTTAGGCAAACCTCAAATTGGCCCCAAACAGGAAACCAGTGCAGGTTCCTTGTTTTCCTTTCTAATGAGGTCAAATGATCTAATACTTATTGGCATACCAGAATAGTTGTTGAATACGTACTCTGTGCAAGGCGCTAGGAACATACAAAGGTACCATCCAGGCATTTATAATCTTGTTAGCAAAAGCAACATTACAGGAAGTTTTCAGTAGTAGATTAAAGGGGACACAGTATAAATGAATATTTGGTTTTCTATAGCCTTATCATATATTGATTAACATCTCTCCAGAAACTCATTAATGTTTGTGTCAGTTCATAATTAAACCAAGCTCTCACTATTTAAATAAAGGAATAAAAAAAGCCCAAAAACTAGGTGTGGGAATATTAAAGCTGTTAAAAAAAAAAAAAAAAAGAATGTTTTTAATTTCAGGCTTTATACATGCCATTAAAAGACAAGTAAACATGGACAAATAACTCAAAACTGAAGTTGTTAAAAAATATAATTCACAATAACTTAGTTTTCATTATTGCATCATAAAATATTTAGTGGACCCTGAAATGAAGTCAATTTTACTCATTAGAATTGCATCTACTACATCTGCAAAATGATAAATCCTGAATAGGGAAATTTGAATGAATGGGATTTTTCTGACTAAAATGAAAAAAAAAAAAAATTTTTTTTTTTTTTTTTTTTTTTTTTTCAGAATAAATGACATGCTTAGTTTTCAGTGAATGCTTATGATAATACTTTTTCTGCAGTTATAGAGTTACCTTAATTTGGAAAATCCTTGGATTCCTTAATTCTTTGGTTGTATATTTAGCTCCTTTTCCTATCAGGTAGGGTCCTGGGGACAGGGTAACTGCACCAAGTATCGACTAACTTTCTGAGCCACATCCTTGAGAGGAAGGTCTTTCAAAGTGAAGTAGTGAAGAGCAGAGGGACAGTAACAGCATTGCTGCCCACCCAGTGAGCAATGTGACATGTAGGGGAACCACACACCTGAAAATAGATTAGCCACCACATAATCTGCAGGGAAAGACAAAAAATCAAATATTCCTATTGTAAAGACATTGGCTAATTCCTAACAAAGATCTAAAAATTCTGTCCATGCCCTGTATCTTAAAAATCTCTTAAGAACCAACTTTCTTCAAGATGCTAAACATGGCAACACTCATGCTATGCCTCTGTCTTCCCTAAATTCTCCCTCCTCTTCCTGCCCTTCATTGCTCCTCTCCTTCCTTCCTTCCTTCATTCATTCATTCACCTAGAGACTGAAGGATGGGCAATGGAGTAGGTAGTAGGCCTAAGTCTCTCAGGTCTTTGATTTTCTAATGCGTGTATGATTAAGCATTGGCTGGGTCTTATAGATTTCAAATACTATTTCTTAATCATATTAAAAGAACACTTTTTTACTTTCTGCTCAGATCACAATCTCTTTCTTCCATAATAGATTTGTCTCCAATATCAGGTTGCCTTACTGCACAGCTTTATTTGAACCTAGCTCCTGAGTGTCCTAAGATCCATTTCTCTGAACAGTCACACCAACATCCAACTTTTTTTTTTTATTTTCAGAGGAAAAAAATTTTTTTTTAAATATTTTACTTTTATTTGACAGAGAAAGAGATCACAAGTAGGCAGAGAGGCAGGTAGAGAGAGAGGTGGAAGCAGGCTCCCTGCTGAGCAGAGAGCCCGATGCAGGGCTTGATCCTAGGACCCTGAGATCATGACCTGAGCCAAAGGCAGAGGCTTAACCTGATGAGCCACCAATGCGACCCAGAAAAATTTTTAATTAAAAAATAAGTCAGTAAAGGGGTGCCTGGGTGGCTCAGTGCGTTAAGGCCTCTGCCTTCAGCTCAGGTCATGATCCCAGGATCCTAGGATCAAGCCCTGCATTGGGCTCTCTGCTCAGCGGGGAGCCTGCTTCCCCCCTTCTCTCTGCCTGCCTCTCTGCCTACTTGTGATCTCTGTCTTTCAAATAAATAAATAAAATCTTTTTTTAAAAAGTCTGTAAAAAATTTGTAAATCACATATATTATCTGAGTGTAATCTGTATGTCAAACAATTGAACCTAGTAGAAAATATCTTCAGGAACAAAGGCTCACAGTCACTAAATCCAGCTTGCCACCTCTGTTTTTATTGAATCGAAGACTTATGTGCTCCTGTTACAGCAGTCCAGCCCTTCCTTCAGGTCGTATATAACCCTCTGGCCCTTGGTTGGTCTATGACTGCTGTATTTTTTTTCCCCAGTTGATGAAACAAATCTAGTTGGAAATCTCATTGATGGAAGATATTTTATGATTAGAGAAATCTCTTTTGTTTTTTTTAAAGGAGGGTGGGTTAGCAGCCTCACTGCTAAACAGGAGGCCTCATATTTTAATGACTGCTGCTCACCCAGACACATGCTGACTTGGGAAGAAATTTTTCAAAAGAGTCAGCAGGCCACCTCGGTGATTTTGCGGGGGTTCTTTCCCACTAACTTCAGGAACGGCCCCATTACCTTTTATTGTCTCAGAATAACCATGGCAACGGTGCATAATTAAGTAGAGCTGCTGGTAAATCGGTTTTATTATTATATTTGAGAAGCTGCCTTTTGCTGTTTTCACACAATGGCAACACTTTCATAGATGTTTTATTTTCTCCTTTGGTAACTTTTAGCACTTATAAAAGGGAAAGATTACTCAGAGGAAGTACTTTGCCAAGAATGAATGAAACAAAAATGTTTTCTCCTAACGGCAGAGGGTGCCCAGCAAACCCATAATCTTTTAGTTATTTTCTTCCCGAGTGAAGCAAGGTAGTATCTGGGGGTCCTTGCAGGTAGCCTGTTACCCTGGATAACCATCTCATGAGCTAGCAGGGAACATGCCTGCTATGCACTTGGGTCCATTTTTTAGTTTTTAGGCTCCTTTGTAACTTTCCCATTGTTTATCTCTTCTTCATGATTGACCATGTGTTTCAAGTTCTCAAAGCTGAATTCTGCCTCTGTCACCAACCAGAGGAGGTGGCCTCAGTGACAGTGAGATGCACTGTGCCTTGGCATCATCTGGAGTGATCCACTTCAATGAAAACCAGTTGGAAATGCATTTTAGGAGACAAAATAGTAGAGAATTAGGAAGCAAAAATTGTGTCTGAATGTGGGCTTTACCTGAGCATAACAGAAGAAACCCACATTCCTTTACCTGGCTAACACTTAATTGAGCAGTGACTGAGGGCCGGGCATGTTGCTTGGTGTGGAGGACATGTAAAGATCAGTACTCACTCCGTAACATCCTCACCCTCAAGGGATTCAGGAATCCCCAGTGGAGAGAAAGTTAACTGCCCCTCATCTTTGACACTGATCTCATTCTGTATTGGTACATAAAGTCTTATAGGAACCAAAAGAAGGGCCCTCAAGTTTTCCTGTGTCAGAGAAAACAGAATAGTGTCCATGCAAAGGAAAAAGTACATCTAATGACAGAAAGGCATGAGCCAGTAAGGTGTGGCCAGGAACTGCAAATAATTCTGTCTGACCAGCATATGGGGTAGGATTTTGCCAAGTTATATAGGTCTAGAGAGCTTGAATAACATCTTAAAAAGCAGCAAAGCTATTGAAAGATGATAAGCAGGGATGCATATAATCAGATAGTTTGTAGAGCACTTTCGTCTAGTGGTTCTTGTAGCAAATAGTCTGGAGGTGTAGCATTTGCTGCAGTGGTTTAGGGGAGGAGATGTGAGGCCTGTATCATGGGGCCAGCAGGAACAAAGAAAAAAGGATGGATGACTATAAGGAACATGTAGGAGGGGACCAGGACACGGTGGGGATGGGGGACATTTACAGTGACTGTTAGGTTTCTGATCAGTGTAGCTATGTCTCTGTGGGTAGGATAGTTATGCCATTTATGGGGTATCGGAAGGATAGTAACGGGGAGGGAAGACTTTGAGTTCAGTTTAGGGCAGGTTGATTTGAAGTGCCTCTGGGATTAGTACTCTGAGATGCTGGCTGGGCAGTTGGACAAACAGGCTTGTGCACAGAAGGAGGTCTGAAGTGGAGTGAGAGATATGAGCATCCTTGGAGAAGAAGCAGAAGTGTGGATTTGAGGGCTCAGGAGCATATGTGGAGAGGAGAAATGCGAAACATCGGGAGCATCAGAGTTGAACAGATAGTTAAGAAAGGAGAACCCCCGAGACATCAACAGGAGCAGCCAGAAGAAGAGAGGCAGGAGAAAGGGCTTATAAAGTGTCAGAGAAGAGAGCAATTCCAGCAATACTTAGGTGACAGAATAGAAAAGTATCATAGGAACTGGGCTGGAGCAAGGACAGTTTCAGGGAAGTTGTATGGGCAGAGGCCCAAAGGTAAATAGGAGTAGGGTAAGTTAAAGATGACTGTTGACAGAGTTGTCGAAATCCTGGTTGGGCAAGAGCCAGAGGGGAAATGGCAAGTGAGGGAGATTTATATGAGAAGACTTTAATTCTGCTTCTGCTGGGGGAAGGTCCCTGGGGGGTGTGAGATCCTGAAGAAAGCTGGGGCTACATGGAAGCAGGAGCCTGGATGGAGCAAATCCTGGGCTAGTGTCCTGGCCTCTGCATGCCACTCCAAGCTGGCTAGATCAGGTCTTTGTCCATTCTTGTCATGATCAAATGCCATGCTTTCCACAGCATGACCCTGGCTCTTTCTAGTCCACAGCCTCTGATATGCGATTTGAAGACACATTTTATGGAGCAGACATAATCCAAGGGGAGAAAAAGAGACAAAGGGTGCTGAGTTCCAGGTTTAAGAATGAATATGTGGATGATCCTGTGTATCGCACTTTTTTGAAGAGCTCTTTTCAGAAAAAATGTCAGAAGAGACAATAACCTGCATATGCTGCTGCGAGCAACAGAGCAACGTGCACCAGAAAAGAAAGATGAAGGGACAACCTTGGGGCTGTGCGATGTGTCTCACTGGGGTAGGTGACGGGGTGTGTCTCTGACAGTGGAAAATTAGGCTTTCCAGAGTTTGGTCACCCAGACCACAGATTATAAATGTTATTAATTGGACAATCTGAAGTCCTCCCCTAGTCTTGCTTTCACTTGTGAGCAGTTATCTTCGATGATCCCAAAGAATTTTTCTAAGTGAAAGGAAATAATAGTGAATCACCCACCAAAAACAGCCACTGAGGAAGGAGGTGGATCCTCACTTGTGGCCTAATTGTGCCCTTAGTCAGGAAACACATGGAGACTTCTCTCCCCAACCCCAGCAAGTGGGATCCTTGATACCCAGGTAAGAGGGTAATAATTTGTATATTTTCCACAGTCAGGGAAGGACTCTCACTTATTTGTTTTAAATGGTGGTTTTTATAAAACATTTTTAAAATACAAATGGCCTGTATGGTAATGAGATTTACCCGTGTGCGATCTGTTATTTCCCTTGTACAGAACTTTTACATTTTTTTATATCCCTATTACTTTTGATTGTGTCTGATGAGAACTGAGTTGTTGGCCTTTGTGAAATTTTTGGCTCTTGAGAAAGAATTCTTATGAATTGTATGGGAATTTTATATATTTAAAGAGGGAGATCTGGGGCTGTTATTTTTAAACACTTTTTCCATAATATTCTGAGTAGATATTTATAAAATATATTTCTTTCATTATGTGTTTGTAAAATTAGAGTTTAAATAAATATGCTTTGATGCATAGTTTTCAACTAATATGATTTTTCCTTTTTAAAACAGCCTGGAAATGTACTAGTGTTTAAAAATAAAGATTTCCATTTTCTCCAATTCTGTCTCCTGACTTGCTTTTTGGTTTATGTTTAAATCAACAGAAAAACAAGTTTTCTTTAGGAGCTGGCTAAAAAGTTTGTCAGGCCCTTCTTTGTTCACAGACTTTTTATATAACCGGACACATTGCCAGACCTTTCAGACATGTCACTGGGCATAAAGGCTCCTCTGCCGGCCCACAGTGTCAGTTCAAGTGTTTCCCTCAGCTTATTCTAGGCTTGAAGAACTCTGAGCACCTAGAGTCTAGAGCTTTTCTCATCCCAGGTTTCTTGTCCCCAGTGACCTTTAGAAAAACCTATATGGACCCTCTAGTCCCTCCCCTCACTTTATAGATGAGCGGTGGAGGACAGGCAGGAAAAGATTGCTCAGGGTCACAGAGTCCTTAGTGACTGCTTCAGTTAACTTGAGTCACCATCACGCTGCATTCCAAACAACTACAAAATCTCAGTGGCCAGCCATCGGAAGACCAGGTTGGCTGGTCTAAGCTGGGCTTGGCTTGGCTTGGCAGCTGTGCTGACCTTGGCTTGGCAGCTGTGCTGACCTTGGCTTAGGCTAACTCACAGGTCTGCTCCACATGTCTCCCATCATCCCACTGGGCCCAGTGAGCTAGCTCAGATATGTTCTTCTCATGTCAGTGGCAGAGGCTGAAGAGCAAGTGAGCCCAGCAGAGTAGGCACATTTCAGTTTGCTCTGTGATGCTGGTTAACATCCTATCGGCCAGAGCCAAGGATTCGAGGGCATTTCAGAGTTTCATGGCAAAGAGTGAGGATGTATCATGTTACTGTGGAGAGAATAAAGAACTGAAACTGTAATAACAGAACCATAGTTAATTATCAGTTCTCCAGGGGTGCTTGGGTGGCTCTGTGGGTTAAAGCCTCTGCCTTCAGCTCGGGTCATGATCCCAGGGTCCTGGGATCGAGCCCCACGTCGGGCTCAGCGGAGAGCCTGTTTCCCTCCTCCTCTCTCTGCCTGCCTCTCTGCCTACTTATGATCTCTGTCTGTCAAATAAATAAAATCTTAAAAAAAAAAAATCAGTTCTCCAGACCACCTGCTCACTGATACTCATTTTCCAGAGTGCCTCATGCCTGAACTCCGAGCTGGGGAAGAGCCCATCAGTCATAATTTTACAGGATTGAGCACTCCACATTCCGTATCAGTATCATCATATATATTATCAAATAATCAAGCTTGTGTTTTCTACCTCCAGGTTTTGAATGGAACTGACCTGTCTTCTTCACAATATGCCAGGGGAGTAAGCCTGTGTAAGGCATTAAGAAGAATTAATCTAAATAGGAACATTCGTTCTATACAAGTTTGCCTGTCAGCAAGATTTCTGATTGGCTGCCACAGGGAGGAAATGTGCAGAGTCCTATGTGATCTCAAATACAGCTGTTTTTTTTTTTTTTATAGGCTCACTTAACTAATGTACCTATAACCAAGTACAGCTGTATATGGCCGCCTCAACAAAACAGTACTCACCCCAGATGCCCTCTGGCTCTTGAGAAAGACACCTTTGTTTCACTGCATTCTGCATAAAGTCATTATTAGCTCTATGACCAAACTGTTAAAGCTTTTTCACTTACTGTGTGACACTTCAATTGTAATTTTAATTTCTTTGCGTTACACTAACTGCATTTTTAGTGTGTATGTGTAACATGAAATCAGTTGAAGGCTAGTTTCTGGTATTAAAAGAATTGCTAGCTGTGACAATTCTAATGTAAATCTAATTGCCAGCCCTTTCTCTGGAGGTTAGAGGATTAATAAAAACTGCCTGGCATATTTCACAACATTTTAGTTCCTTTATGTGTGTTTGAAATGAGAACAGTGTGATTCTTGTCAGTTTACTTTTATTATGGTACTTTTGTTTATTTCATCTAGAGAGAAATTGAGAAGAAGCATCCACTAGAATATCACATGGCTTCTTGGAATACATTATAAATTGCTACTGGCTAATAGTATATGAAAACACGTAGACTCAGAATACAAAAAGATGTAGGAGTGAATGGGTCTGCCACTTCTCCCTGTACCCATCCAATGTGAAACAAGGCTGTAGTGCATATGGTATTGTAAATGAATGGGAGGTCTTATGAGTATCATATTGGAGTGGTATATGCTGCAAAATAACACTGGGCACTTTTTTTTTTTTTTTTTTTTTGCCTTTAAGTAAAAGGGATCTGAAATGAAACTTTATTTCAGATATTGATCAGCCTCATAAACTTGAAGCTAAGTAGAGGTATTCTCATTACATAAAGTAATTGTAATTGGTTGGTTGCAAAACTCAATTGTACTATAAACTCTTTCTGAGAATTCAGATTTGCAGTCACTGCAAATGTTACTCATTCTTTCACGCAGTATGTTGTAGAGACATAGAGCACTCACTGGTCGGGAGAAGGATTCCTGGCCTCTGAAGAAGCCTGAACTCTCCAGCAAGTGGGCTGACAACTCAGAAACTTCATGCTCCGTCCTCAGTAGGTGCAGGACCCTTGAAGAAATTGAACTTCCTCAAGAGCTGCTGATATTAATGATGTCTTGAGTATCTATTGTGAATCCTGAGCCGGGTAGGCTCCTTAGTGGCATTTGTTTACCTTGTTTAACCTCCCCAAGAAATCAACAAAGTACCATTACCCGCTTTCATGGAGGGAAACTAAGGCTTAGAGAGGTTAAGTAACTTCTGAGTCACTTAACCTTCTTGATGCATGAAGAAAAGTATTCTAAACCTAACCCAAACAAAAGACACTGGATAGACAGTGCTGAAGCTCAAAAGACAGATCAACACTAGAGGTATAAATGAGGAAGGCATCATTTTTATTGGCAGATGTTTTAAAAATACGTGGAATCTACCTTCTGGCAAAAGCAAAACTGTGGGGACAGAAAAAGATCAGTGCTTGCCAAGGAGTTGGCAGGGGGAGTTGGACAGCAAAGGGGTACGAAGGAAGTTTGAGGGGGTGGAAATATTTTCTTGATTGTGGTGGTGGTAACAGCCTATATGTTTGTCAGAATTCATAGAACTGAACACTAAAATAGGTGGATTTTACTAGATATAAATATCACCTCAGTAAACCTGACTTAAATAAAATCTAGGTGAAGGGTGGGCAAGGCAGAGAGAGGATGTCCTGTGAGAAGAGATCAGAAGTCTGAGATAGCTAAACAGATGGGTAGAAGAAGAGCCTGGGCCTGAATACTGAAAGGGAAGAAGAACCAGGATGCTCTGATGTCTGGAACAGCAAGGAAGACAGTGCTCCTAGTAATGAGGAGTGGTTGACAGAGAAAGTGCTGCAGAGTCCAAGCAAGATCAGGTCATTGTTTCTGAGCAGGCCAACAGTGACCTTGGGGAGAGCATTTCAAGTGATTTCAGATGAGAAATCTATTAACATTCAAATCGGTGTTCCCTAGGGGCATTGACAATAATGTGTCTTGACTTTGATTTCTTTGGGTTTATTTCATTTGGGATTTGTTTAACCTCTTGGCCTTTCACCAAATTTGGAAAATTTTTAGCCATTATGTCTTGGAATATTTTTTTTAATTCCATACTCTTCGAGATCTCCATCTGGGACTTCAGTGACAGAAATGTTGGGTATTTTGTCATTGTTGTTGTTACGTGGGTTTCTGATAATTTTTTTTTAAGAAATGAAAACTTTTTGAGAGAGAAGAGAGCATGAGTTGGGGGAGGGGCCATAGGAGAGGGAGAAGCAGACTCCACACTGAAGCCCACTGTATGGCTTGATTCCAGGAACCCGGATCATGGCCTGAGCCACAGGCAGATGCTTAACTGACTCAGCCACCCAGCTATCCCCAAATATGATTTTTTAAAGTTTATTTTCTCTCTGTTCAGATTGGGTAAGTTCTATTGATCTGTCCTCAAATTTACTGATTTCATCCTCTGTCATCTCCAAACTATTATTGAGCTCACTGAACGTTTTTAAATTTTGGTTATTGTATTTTTCAGCTCTATAATTCCCATTTGGTGGTTCTTTGTAGTTTCTATTTCTTCACTGAAATTTTCTATTTTTTCATTTGTTCAAGAGCATGATTGATTATTCATGGAAGCGTTTTTCTGATGCCTACTTTATTTTTTTTTAATATATATATTTTTTTACGGATGGCTACTTTAAATCTGTGTCAGATAATTCGAGCATCTGATTCATCTTGGTACTACAGTGTGTTGATTGTCTTTCCTCATTCAAGTAATTCTCCTTGTTCTCGTCATAGCAAGTGACTCAGTTATAACCTGGACATTTTGAATATTATGTTAGAAGACTTTGGATTATATCTATATTCTTTTTGCCGTTAGTCATGGCAGTCACCCTGTTTTGGTTTAGTGCTTGGGTCATGGCCTACTTTTGTGGGCTGTGGTTCCAGTGACAGTTTAGTTTTCAGAATTCTTCTGATCTGCTTTGTGTGCTGCTCAGTGTCCACTCTGCAGACCAGGGTACTATTCCTCACTTTAGTTCAGTTCTCAGACTTTTTGGTGAGTTAATATAAATCAGTTTCATGTGTGAGTCAGTCACCAAATTCTTGTGCATATTTATAGAATTTCTTTCTGTAGATCTCTGTTCTCTAAGGTTACCCTTCCGTTCTCTAGTTGAAAAAGTGAGGAACACTGCCTCGTACTATTCATAAAATCCACTCAGTCTCCACTAATAGCACGCTGAGAGGGAGGAAAATGCCACCCAGGACATCCAGGCTTCAGGATGGATGGAAGGTAGAAGTCCAGATTCCTCATTCGGTCTCCATCAGCACAACACTGAGGGTGAGGGGAGAGTACCACTCCGGCTCTCTTGCTGCCATCATGTGAGCGACAGAAATCCAAACTCTCCATTTGGTCTCTCCTGAGACTATACAGGCAGGGACCATTCATTATGTTTGACTGGGGTACAATATTGTCAAAAAGGATTTTGTCCTGCTATGCTGCTCCTTTCTAGGTCCTTTGACTATAGGGAGCAGGTTTTAAGTGTTTTTGTTTTGGTTTGGTTTTAACCCCTATGCCTCTTGGTAGATCC